GTCTTCGAGTTATTTATACTCGCCCAGTCGGATTTTTACCGATCAATCACGAGTTTGTCTTCGAGTTATTTATACTCGCCCAGTCAGATTTTTACCGATCAATCACGAGTTTGTCTTCGAGTTATTTATACTCGCCCAGTCGGATTTTTACCGATCAATCACGAGTTTGTCTTCGAGTTATTTATACTCGCCTAGTCGGATTTTTACCGATCAATCACGAGTTTGTTCTGTTATGTAAAAAATGTCAAAGAATCAAATTAGGGATAATGATATTCATTAAATAGACAAATTATTGGATTTTGGTGCCTCGTTAAAAACCTTCTCAGCAAAATCCCCTCTCATTCTTTACGGGGAAAAAATACTGAGTTAGGAAAAGAGTGCACCTTCTACAAATGAATAAGCTAACTGTAATAGAAACGTAAGTTGGTCGCGTTCCAAGTTCTCGGAATCATCCCTCCATCCAAGGTCCTCAGTCGGTAAGCCCCTTTGCCGACCACATCATCAATTCTATAAGGGCTGACCCACTTAGGTGACAACTTGTTCCTCATCTGAGTCAGCTGAGCACGCTTCAACACGAGGTCTCCGACGAAGTCTCTTGGGATGACTTTCGTATTGTACTTGAAGGCTGCTTTTCTCTGGGCTGCTACTTGATTTATCCTTTCTCTCTCTCTTGTTTCCGCGAGCAAGTCCAAATCCACTCATCTTCCCTGGTTGGACTCCTCCTCAGAAAAGGCTGTAGTACATACTGACAGCTCTGCAATTTCAATCGGGATCATGGCGTCTGTTCCATACACTAAATTGAAAGGAGTGTCCTGGGTCGACGAATGAACTGTTGTTTGGTATGACCATAACACTCGGGGAAGCTCCTCCACCCATGAAGCACCTGAATCTTGGACGCGCTTTTTCAGCCCCGAGAGTATAACTTTGTTGGCCGACTCTGCTTGGCCATTGGACTGGGGGTGTTCGATGGAAGTGAAAATCATTCGAATACTGACCTCTTTACAGAAATCACGAACTCTACTACTTGCAAATTGTGTCCCATTGTCGAAAACAAGCACTTGAGGAACACCGTACCTGCACACCACATTTTTCCACAAAAACACCCTTACTTTCTCTGCCAAAATGGTTGCCACTGGCTCGACCTCGATCCACTTGCTGAAGTAGTCCACAGCTACTACCAAAAATTTCAACTGCCTTACCGCGATCGGAAATGGACCGAGAATGTCAATCCCCCACTTGTGGAAAGGCCAGGGAGACAGGATTGAATATAGTCATTCAGCTGGGGAATGGTGTAGGGTTGCGTGTCATTGGCATCCATCACACTTTTGGACCCAATTGACGCAGTCGTTCCTCAAGGACGGCCAAAAGTACCCCGCCCGGGCAACTTTGTACACCAAAGCGCGGCCTCCAATGTGACTTCCACACATTCCGCTATGCACTTCATCCATCACTCTCTACGCTTGTGACATGGTCAAACACCTCAAAAGGGGAGAGCTGAAACCTCTGCGATACAACCTTTCGTTGATGACCACAAACCTGGTCGACTCTCTCTGAACCAACGATGCCTCCCTTTTGTCCTCCGGTAGCTCCCCCCGAGTCAAATATGCGATGTACGGTCTCATCCACGAATCAAGCTCTTCCTGGATGAAAAGGACATTCGCTTGTGCCTCATTTACTCTCCCAAATCCAGTGGCCTACCT